TACTGGCCTCTTCCTTGAAAAATCGTACCAGCGTTGCTATTAGTTTCACCTGCGTGTGTACTATTGTTCAGCCCACTACCATTCCTCCGACCACCTTGGTGCTTAGAGGTTTCTCCCCGGACCTTTTCAATACATTCAGACCGATCCCTGTACCAGTGACCAATCTGACCACATCCCTTGCATCTTGTTTCCGACTTGATCTTCTTGATGCGCTCGATTCTCTGCTGTGAATCATACCCACTTGTCCTTTTTCTAAGCATCGATCCCCTGGTGACAATTTCGTGTGATTCCCCCTCTGCTAAAACTCTCACTTGCGCCAAAGGCTGTGCCGTTTCCTCCATGCCAATCACGGAGACTTTGCATTCTGCCTTGGATCTCGTGATTAGTGCAGATATATTGTTTGAGAAATTATTAATAACATTAAAGTTCGGCGTTCCTGGGACATTGGAGTCTTTGATGAATCCGTTTATAACGAGCGCATCAGTATCTTGAATTTGAATCTGTATGGTCTTCGCTCCTACCGTCTTGTTACTGCTTTTAGTCGTCAATTGAAACATAAGGGAATTAAGAGTGTCAGGGGTTAGTTTTGCGTTCCTCAGCATTGTTACAGCGAACTGTCTACTGGTGAGTTCCGTCAATTCCGAGGTCTGGGTGACGTAGCGCGCTACGGTTCCTGTGTATCTGTTTGCATACATATGTGGGCTTTCCCCTGTCCGTCGTACGCATGTCTGTATATTATTGAGTAGCTCGACTTCCATTCGCATGAGCTTTGCCGGGGAATCCTTGGCAATGATATTTATGACCTGTTCCACAAGTTCCTCTCTGGTTGGATCGTTCTTGCTTCCTTTTAAGTTGGTATATCCAGATTTTTCGGCGCTCTGAATTTTCTGCTGGGCATAGTCGTCACATGCCCTGTATATCAATGGCCCTGCACCATTCAACATAGCCCTGGATTTCGTGTCTACCTCAGCAAACATAATGAGCATTTGAATCCATCGACGAAGGTCATCCCTTTACTTAGACTTGACGGTGTGATTAGTTACAAAAATTGGAGGCTGATCTTGGTTATGCGTAGCACCTCGTGGAGAAGATGAGAGAGCCTCTGGGCCCATAACTGTGGATTTTCCGTGAGACATATTGTTTCAGGAATGTGTTTGTTCCCTTCAAACTACGGCGTGCTACAATCTGGTGCGTGTGGCAAATATTCAGCATCAGCTGGCTTCGGTTCAAATCTCCCCGTCGCTTGTCCCCTCTTTTTCTTCCCTACTAGCTCTCCTCTAAGCTGTATAAATACCTAAGTCCCTTTGGGTTTCCTCCCATTCTTCGCATCGTCCTGCGCCTCTTTTCTCAATTCTGCTTCCTCGGTGTTTCACATTGTAATTCCCTTACAAGTGCAATGTCATTACACATCCCCTACGTGCACTATGTCCTCACTGCATACTGTAGTACACTACTACTGTACGGTATGCTGAACCCTGACCATCTTGAACATGTTTGCGCATTCTGTTTAAATGACGCCTTTGTTAGGCGTTTTGCTTCTCAAGATGGATTATGTTTCTGGATTCCTTCAAGATGAGGACGACATTTGTGATACAAGACCACCAAATCTTCGTGCAGACAGAGATTACATTTCACCCACCCACACGGAAACGTACCAGTTCTTCGAGGGACAGAGCAATCAAGGAACGTGCTTTTTTCGTCAAAATATCTTTGCCTTTGGAAACTGAAAAGTTTAAACGCTTCTGTATATTGCCCATGTAGAAAGCGCTAATGGAGTGTAGAGACAAATTCAGATAAATATACCCTTCCCTAAAGCATTATATGGTAAAAAAGGCTAATTTGGTGATTCAGTTCTCGTTGCTCCCAGTGCGGACAATGGGTACAGTCGTTCATCCCTGGACTCCAGGGAAACGCTCTGGGGCCTGAAGCGTTCACCCCGTCTACAGTTTCCCGCAATGTTACCTCCGCGCCTCTCCCCGTCGCGCCAAAAAAGAAAATAGCGGGCACACAACACTGTTAAAGGCCAAACAGTAGTATTTTATCCACGATGAAACCCTTTCTCGTCATGTTCGCGAGACAGGCCTCCAGTTTCCCGCAATGTTACCTCCTCGCTTTTCCCCGTCCCGCCAAAAAATGGCGGGCACACTGCACCGTTAAAGGCCAAACAGTAGTAATTGATCCACGATCAAACACCTTCTCGTCCTGCTCCCGAGACTGGCCTCCAGTTACGCACAATTCACGCCCCCTCCGAGGTCGATTGGAATGCGTCATCAGGCATCGCGCGCCAAGCAAAGGAACAGACGGGACGCAAGGGCTAAAGACAAACGGCAGACAGCGGTAAATTTATGGAAGATGGGAAAAAAGGTTGCGGATGTGGTTCGCCTCACAGCCATCAGTCGTGGGACAGCAGACCGATTACAAAAATGCCTCAAGACCAAGGACGAAGACAAACTGTCCCGCCTTCTTGACCCAGCCAACAACCGTCTCGGAGCCCCCCGTGTCATCAAAGCGGACGAGGACAAAATCATTAAGCAGCGCATTAAATATACTGCCTCCCGGGGATTCGCAATTAACAATTATACATTGCGAGCTATCATGGCTCGCATTGCCAATGATGGTCGACGCGGTTTTCAGACGAAGGACAACATGCCCTCCCCGGACGCTGTTCGAACCTGGAGAACCCGAAACAGGGATATCACGTTTCGAACAGCCGAAAACAAGGAACAAGCGAAGCTGCAGCACCTGCGGTTCTAAAGGCGCACGAAGGCCCCTCCCCAAAGTGCGTCAACTCCTCACCATTCCCCACCAATGTTGCTGCGTCCGCGTTACTCGGTCTCTCTGGTGCCAGTGAAATTACCAAATAGACCTTTTTCTAAAAATCTGTGTACTGCCGCACCAATAAAAGGAAATTCGGGGTTCTCTGACCCAGTACGGCTTGAGATTCTGTATCTCCTCCCAGTTGATCAGCAAACACAGAGCATCGACAACCACCAGTTTGAAGTCATTTGGGGCAGGGGAAGTAGTTTTTTTAAATTAATTTATGAAAGATGTTACCACAATATACTTTCGGGGAAGGGTACTCAGAGATCAGATACAGTGCCTTGGTTATAATGAGTGGCGGTTGTTGACCTTGTTTCTGTCTTGCGTGTGTTCTGAGTCTGCATTGTACATACCAGCGCCGTTACACAATCTCCTGAAGAGGCACTATATTTGTTCCACTCTCGAAGAGATCGCCGTGTGTTTAAGCCTAGTTTCTGAGCTCTAATGCAAGGGCACGTAGGTCTGTGTAGAAATCACAACAGTTTGATGCGTTTTGGCTTCTCTTTCGAAATGGTTTTTAGAAAGTTGTGCGCGATTAATCGCAGTGGTGAAGTACTTCAAGCAGGAAATAGGCGCGGGCTTAATTTTTCTATAACGACTGCAGAAATCAGTTCAAATGATGGCGACAAGATGATTTTTGCATCTACGACGCGAACGTGGGGCAAGTGCTCTTGACAGAATATATAGAGTATACTTGCACTGATTGCTAGCGAACAAGGGTTCTGAGACTCCTGCTGCTGCGCAGCCGTGGTGGTCCAGGCCATTGGCAGTGTCTCAGGAATGTGGAGCCTGTACGGTGGCCTTGCGGGAAGCAGAAGAGAAATCGGAATTGCAAAAATCATGGCGCGCTGGCTGGGCCCAACTGGCTCATGCGCCAATCAATGCACCGAAAGGGTCGACTGCCAGCGCGCCTCCTCTTGGACACCAGTTCCAAGTCCCCTTCGATCACCCTGCCTAGCGGTCTTCCCCACCCCCCCCCCCCCCCCCCCCTGCCCTCCTGCAGCGCTCGTGTCAACGCCACCCCCTCCCACCTGCGGCCATTTTCGTATCTGCATCCCGGACGGTGTTCCCCCAGTTGAAACGCACCATCCGTAGTCGTTTCCCCCCTGCCTCGTCTTCCACTTCGCCGGATTCCTACCGCCACCCACTGTCTTCCTTCTTCGTTAATCGCTACCCCACGCTTCCCCCTCTGCCCCCTCCCGTTTCGGAATTTTCTCATCATGGAAGAAATCCTCGCTAATCTCGACACTGCTGACGCCCCCCCGATCTTTGATACTGCCTCTATCCTAGGCCCTGCTTTCGACATGGACCCAGACTTCGCGTCTGACGGGAATGACAATGGTTCAATTTATCCTCCGGATCTTTCCGCTCCTCTTCGTACTCAGCATCCTACATCTGCAGGCGCTTCGCAAGCTCCTCAGGGTATGCAAATTACCCCGGCAGAGGAGGACTATCTTACCGTGGATGATGGGGAGGCCCCGTCCGCTACTTCCCCTAAGAATCCGAACAAGTCCGCGGCCGTCGCCAACCCCGCAGACGCCTTACCGAAACTGCAACAGGACTCCGCAATGGTCATTGATCTCCCTGCTCAAACCTCTGCCATGTCTGTTGTTACATCTGCAGCGCTTTCCGGCGCGACACCCACGCTACCCACTAAAAAAGAAGCCCTTGCAAATCCAAATTCTGCTGGAGAACCCTCTTCTCAACCTATCGTTCCTGACGTGCCCCCAGATACCCCCGCCGCGATAGAACGAAGACGCCTAACCCCTATCGCTGATGCCGTCGTGTGCGAATTCTGGTGCTCCAATCGCAACCCTGCAGACTTTGTCGCCGCCGTCAAGCAGCGTCTTCCTGTTCGGCGAAATCAGGCCCAATTGCAGAGCATTGTAGAGGAAAGTTCTACGCCGAACGCATCACCGACCAAGGATATTGCGAAGGACGCTAGCGACGAGCTGACTCTACTATGGCAGCTCCCAGAACCCTCGGAAGGTGCTTTGCTGGACACCTTGTGTGCCCGATTAGTCAAGGGCGACGCTGTTTCAACCAGGTTGATGAGTTATCTCAGTAATTCTTTGATCACGGGGATTGTTTCTCAACGAGCGGTTATTGCAACATGGCTCAAGTGGATTGCGGCCACCCCAGACATTTCTACCCGTGTCTTGCAGTCTTTTGCAGGTCTTATGGCCCAGATTATTCCGCATTATCGCTTTTCTCCCACCGACGATAACCTCACATCCGAAATCAGGGACTTTCTTGGCGCTTTCACTACGATCATTACGTGTGCTGCGAACACACCGTCCTTCGCCCCGCAGCTGGCTAGCGTCCTCAGTCATGATAGAGTCGTTGCACTAGTCCGGGCGTGTGCTCGAAGAATGCCATCCATATGGCCGCAACTCGATGCTGCGATTGCCAAACTTGAAACGCGTCCAAAGGACAGTCTGGGTATCATTGAGGAGACTTTTCCATCTCGAAGCGCTTATGAAGAAGCGCCGGAATTGAGTAAACTCATTCCTAGATTGAAGAAGGGGCTCTGCGTGGGTATCACGCCTTTCGAGAGTTTTACCAACGAAGTTCCGGGACCTGGCGAGCCGCTGTCAAAAGCAATTTCGGCGGCATACGAAACTCTGCTCTTTTTTGGAAGTGAAATTGCGGAAGCGGTGCGCGGCATGTTGAGCCAAAGAGAAGGACCACAAGGAGACTATCCTTTATTAGTGGCTTTGGAGCGGGCAGCGACAGGTTCGCAGTCTGAAAACACACTTCGAAAAGACGAATTTCGGAACAAAGCGATCGCATGTCAGGCTATCGTACGCTTCCTAAGTGAGCGGGCATCCAAGTCTGCCCCGGGTGATGACTGGAAGACGCTGTGGGGAGGAAAAGAACGCCTGAAACGAATTGTCCGAGATGCAATTCCGCAGGTGAAAGCAGAGATCAAATCGGAATCGGGAGCCTTGATGATTTCTGTGGTTGTAGTGTCTGTGGCAGCGATGATACTCGGTCCTTCGCTTTGCATCAACGACACGAATGATGGAGTAGATCTCAACGACCCTGCTGCTGTTTCTGCTCAGGAGAGCCAGAACGAGGAAGTAGAAGAGGCAATGGGTGAACTAACAGGCTTCGCAGTGGGGATTTTGGAGGAAGCGGCCACGGCAGAGGAGGTCCCTGCATGGAGATCTTTTGGTCTGTGGCTTTTATTGCTGATGTCTCGATGTGGGTCGATGTTGCGGGCCAGCGGATGTGAGCATCCAAGAGCTGCGCGAGTGCTCCGGGCATGGGGAGGATTGCCCACTGGTACGCCAGGTTCTCACATCGCACAGGCTGGTGGGAAGCAATCGAGCCAGGGTGGAAGCGGGCACCATCAGCCTCCTAGTTCGTCATCCGCAACGGCCAGGACGGAGGGAGTGACGGCGTTTGCCACATCTGCGTCGCTGGCTATCATTGATGCATCTGATGTCTCGGGAAGTGACGAAACAATTCGAGCGCTGTGCGATGACCTTGTCCAATGACCCCGGATTGCCGATCTGGTATGGGATGGAGTGCTACGTCGGCAAGAAGTGATTGTATAGTTCTTGGTTGTCTATATCAAACGAGCACTGGAAACGAGGCGTGTCTGTGTCAATGCCGACATGCAGGCCTTGACTGAGTAGAAAATTGATCTGTCTTCTGCGTGCTGTGGTTGACCGCAAGTGGTACATAGTTTGTGTAGCGGAGTTAGAGTGAATGGAAGTGCCTATTTTGGACACGCAGGATAAAAGACAGACTGAAAATTCATGAGTCGGTTGGCATTCTTTGCTGGTGTGCACATACTATCTCGGCAGATGAATGTTTTCCAAGATAGTGCTCATGGCTGGGACCGTTTGCGAAGCCATATCAGGGTCTTTCAGTATGGATGAAGGCGTATCTTTGAGGCTTGAAGCAAGATTTCCCTCCCTAATCACTGATTCTCGGACAATTGCGGCAGTACCGAAGCGGTGAAAATACCTTGTGTCGAAGATGCGAACAAGGACGCCATCAACACGCAGGAAGAACCGTGCGAGTATGAAGAAGCAACTGGGCATAACTCTGATTCGGACCTTGTACGAAGCGACGCCGTTATCATCAAGCTCATCCTCAAACAAAATGACCTCGGACGAAAATAGAATGGGAAGCTCGGTGTTCCTCAGGACCTCGTAATCAATCGGTACCAATGCGGACTGCAAATTTTGCCCGGGACCTGGTGAAATGTGAAGATGTTGCGACATGGGCTCCCAACTTGGACTCAGTTGATCTATAGGATTCTGCGAGGCAGTGACAGTGCCCGGATACCTAGTAGAAAAGGTCCAATCACTGGCTTTGTCAATGGTAGTGATTTCGACATCGTCTCTGTCGGTCTTCTCACCCCACTTGACAGCAGCCTTGACCTTGATGTTTGGATCGGCCTCTCCCACCATTCGAAGGGCGTCCACGGCACTGAAGACTAGCTGAAACGATCGTTCTGCTTGGCCTTGTGCGGATGGCGGGGAAACGTGTTCTAGTCGCAGAGTGCTACGGTCGAAGAGCATGGCAGGGAGCTTGATTCCCAAGTCGTCGGCCAGACGATCCTCGACGGCGGTGGTGGCAATCGGGAGCTGGGCGGAGCTGATATGCCAGCCGCTTATATCGATGCCAGTGCCATTCGGGTGGACGTGAAAAGCAGGTGCGGGCGCATCGCGCGGTGTGACTGATGCGTTCTGGGCGCCCATCGCGGAGAGGGTTGGCGGAAGCAATAGAAATGAGTCGGTGAGACGGTCACTCGGCGCGGATTCGGGTCGGAGAGCACTGCTCTGGCCGAGGGAAATGGCGGACGGTGGAATGCAGCAGCAGGGTAAATTTTGGCTGGTCATTTCTGTGTTTCCAAAATCACCGAAATTGAAATTGCATGGGCTTTGGGGATGAGAACGGCAGTGCGTGTACACGTCGCGGCTCAAACAAGGCTGGACCCTTCTTCCCGGCTCCGTTGTTTAACAAGGTACAAGTACAGCGATGATTGCGGCGACAATACAGTATCTGAAGCCGTATGGTTTTTTTCACTGTCTTGGCATCAAAACCAATATGGCTTATTCACTCTAGCGCTTTCTAGCTCGGTCGCACCGGATCAAAGCTCTTCTGCAGAAAAGCGTACGTCGCGGTTCTACGAAACAAGGAATAAAAACCCCGCCTCTCCTGTACCGCCGCACCGTTCCCTCTCCCCAGTGGTACATCTGTCGTCTGTCGTTCTTGCAATATACGCAAGCCTGCCGTCTGTCTTGTACGGTACTTCTCCCTCTGCGATGCTGTTCAGTGCGGTCGCCCCGAGATGCTGCACGTGAGAGATGGATGAAACCAATTTTAACCAAAAAAACACAGTCCAATGCACAACGGCCTCCTCCTGCCATCGGACAGGCGCAGCCAATCTCGCTTCACCATCTCACGTCAACATCCGTCACCACTTCGCCCGCTGCCCCTCGACGCACCAGTCACATCAAAACGCTCTCCCTTTCCCTCCCGCGATCTGCCACAGTGCCCCTCCTCGCCGGCGTCTCCCCTGCTCCCACCATCCTACCCATTATGCCGCGCGACGCCACCATCCGCCGCCGCCGCACGGCTCCCCCCGCCGGACGGCCCGCCGCGACAGCCGCCGCTGATGGCACCACCGCCACCGCCGAGCCGGAGCAGCGCACTGATATGAAAGGCGCCATGCGTCAGCTCTTAGTCCGCTGTGTCCTGATGTACCTTCTGTACCACTACTACGTCAAGCCTCGCTCCGCCCCCTCCTCCCCAACCACCGTCACTTCAACCCCAAGCACCCCCGCGGCCCCACCCGCCAACTCGCTCGCTGCCATGCTCGGCATCGCCGAAGCCAACCCCCCGCCCTACTACTCGTATAAACTTGCAGACGCATGGCCTTTCAACATTCCGCTCTCGCTCCGTGTCTACGCTACGGAGGATCCGGAACTCTCGTTTGCTGGGGCTCTCGAAAGGGGCCCTCAAGGCCTGGTTTGGGATGTTGATCGTGTGCGGTACAGCGATGCCAAGGAAAACTATCTAGCTAAGAATATATCTATGCGCGTCCCGGAGAGCGTCCGTCAGGCAAATGGCACCTGGTACGCCCATGTGTTTGTGACAAAGCAAGGGGTATGGGACACGGAGGCGGTTAGCGAGATGGAGGTTGCGGAGAGTGTGCTACATGCGAGGTATGAATTTGTGAAATGGGTCCAAGTCGATTTGAATAAGAATAAGAAAAACCTTTTAGGAGGTGAAAGTAATGAAAACGGAAAACAAGCGAGTGTGGATCCAGCAAAGGGTGAAGGGGACGACAGTGGCGATGGGGGCGACGCCGATGTCACCTACCGCTTCGATCAGGTATGGAAACCCACAATGCCAATTCATTTGGTCATGGGTGGTCGTCCTCTCATTCTCGGTCAGCTCCCGACAGCAGCGGCGAAGAAGTTTCGGGTCAACGAGGAGAAAAAGCTCTACTATCCCCCCATGCATATCAATGAGTTTTGGATGATTCGTGAATCTTTGCATGCTATGAACGAATCTGTCAAGGAAGTCACCATCGAAGTGTCCTTCTCCCCGATCGGCATGTTGAAGTGGACTATGTTCAGGCAGTTTGATTCCATCTGGCAGAAGCAGATTGACTTTGGCGCCATGAGGCCGGACGAGCCCGACGAGCTAAAGCGGATGTTTCTGGAGACGAATCCCGTCTTGCTCGGGACTACAATGATGGTGTCGATGGCACACTCAGTACTAGAGGTGCTGGCGTTCAAGAACGATATTTCTCACTGGAGGAACATCAAGAGCATGGAAGGTGTGTCCGTGAGAAGTATGATTTGGAAGATTGTCATGGAAGCAATCGTGTTCTTATATCTATGGGATAATGAGACATCCTGGATGATTACTGTGGGGAACGGTGTTGGGCTAGTGATCGCAATCTGGAAGCTTCGCAAGGCTGTAAAATTCGAAAACTTTGGGAAGAAGAAGCTGTTTGGATTTATCCCTTGGTTTGAAATGACGAACCGGGAAAGCTACTCAAAGGAGACGAAGGAATACGACGACCAGGCAATGAAGTATCTGGGCTACGCATTATACCCTCTAGTCCTGTTGTATGCACTTTACTCTTTGCGCTATGATAAGCACAAGTCATGGTACTCGTGGGTGATCAACTCACTCGTCGGGGCCGTTTATGCCTTCGGTTTTATCATGATGTTTCCACAGATTTTCATCAACTACAAACTCAAGTCTGTTGCGCACATGCCAATGAAGGCGATGATGTACAAAACGCTAAACACTGTCATCGATGACTTGTTCTCTTTTATCATCAAAATGCCGTGGCTGCACAGGTTGGCTTGCTTCCGCGACGATATAGTCTTTTTAGTATTGCTGTACCAGCGCTGGATTTATCCAGTGGACAGCAAAAGGGTTAACGAGTTTGGACAACAGTTTGAGGAGGACGGCAACGAAAAAGTAGTCTCTGTAGATGGAGAAAGCAACAGCGCCAGCAATACTGGAGAAATCGAGACTACCAAAGCAGGTGATGAAGCCGAAGCTGAAGAAAAAGGCTCAAATGAAAAGAAGAATGACTGAGGGACTTGAATACTACTGTACTTAACTAGATGAAATATTTTGCTGACTACCCCGATTTGCTTACTGACTCGTCCGCTTTTTTGCGTCTTTATTAGTTTTTGTCGGCGAGGATGACTCGAACCTGTCAAAACTGCCATGCCCACTGTTTCGATGACTACTGTGTTGTACAGGTATCCATGGATAGTGCATGTGTCTTGCTAGTCTCTATCCGACCAAGCGATATCAAAACATAAAAATCTGCGATTTTATTTCTTTTCAACTACAGGGGGGGTCTCCTCAATAGTTCGCTTTACAACAGTAGGGAGCTTACGCTGCCGTTCATGAGCCAAGTGCACATGCCCAAATGTGCACCCCTTTCAGCGATGTCACAACTCTTACCACGTGTACACCTGTGCACGTAGAGCCATGCTGATGTAGGTGCACACCGCTGTGCTGCCGAAAAGGGCACGTGGAAAAGCCGGAGGACGTATGATCACAGGTACAGGCCCAAGGCATCCACTTTTCCGGAAGATAGTCCAACCGCAGAACGATTTGCTGAGTCGCTATGTTTGGAGGTCCCAGGGGAATAGCCTTTGTTTACAGGTACCTTTTCTCAAGTAGTATGAGAGATTTCTGAAACAATGGAGCACTCATACACACCTTCTCTGGATGCCCCCAAAATCCACCATATGCTCGTTCAGATCGACGATCTTGGAAGTTTGGTCCTCAGGTTCATTTGCCCAGGTTATTTTGCCGACCGGGAGAGCCGGGCAGGGACGGCGTTACCCGCGTTACACAGTGCGACATTAGCAATAGCAACGCTGTAATGCAATGACCAGCGCCTCTAAAATGTACGAGCTTTGTGACACGTGGTTGGGACCGGTGTAAGTAATTGGAAGTTTAAGTTAGTAATTGTAGACCGCGCGCAAAAAGAGTATAAATGCGGTGGTTTTCGGTCGTCCTGTACGGCCGAGACCAGAGAGACACATCACAAAAAAACACACACGGGTAAGACACGGGACGACGTACCCCGTTTTCGCCCTAACATGGTACTCTTGTGGAGGGCCGACGCCAACAGTCAGGCGGGTCCCGCTTCCCTGGTGTTCGATGGTAAGCACGAGGCGGATGTCGCCAAGTTCTTCTTTGTCTACGAAAACGTCGTAATGAAAGGCAAGTCCGACGAAGACAAAGCCGGAGAGCTACTGTGCTACCTGCAAGGGGAGGCTTTCGACTACTACTATGAAACATACAGCCAAGACGGTGGACTGAACGAGGCGGCCAGCGACTACCAAGCCGTCAAGGAGGCATTGCTCGACCGTTTCGAGTCAGTTCCTGAACTGGAAGAAAACATCAGGCTCGCAGTCGCGAGTAGGTTGGACAGCAACGACGTGCTCGCGTCGTTAAACGCGATGGATCGCCGCTTCGATAAAGCAGCTTTCAACCCCGAAGCCAAGTTCGGACTACTCCGGAACGCGGTCATGGAGCACACCGACTTGTCACAGTTCGTCTTTTATAGGGCACCTACCTCGTACGGGGAGCTGAAGAAGGCCGTTAAGGACTTCGTGTCTGGCCGCAAAGCCTTTATAGCTGCACACAATGCTAGGCAAACTCAGCCTCCGGCGCCTAGGCGCATTCTACGGAGACCGGAAACACGCCAGGAGCCGGACAAGATTGAAAAGAAAGTGGACGTGCTGGCAGAACGGCTAGCAGAACTTTCTTTGTTGGTAAAGAAGAATCAGACAGCAGATCAAGGTGGCCAGGTCCGAACCTGCTCATTCTGCAAGGAACCGGGGCATGGGGCCAGCCGATGCCCTTCTAATCCGCGCCGAGACACTCGTTGTTCGAATTGTAGGAAGCTTGGTCATGAAAAGGAGACGTGCTGGACCAGGCTTAGAACGGCACTGCCGAGGGCAGGAGCCACGACTCAGTCCACAGCACCTGCGACAGAAAGTGCAGGGAATGCCCAGGTCACCTATATTGACGAGGCAAACGACGGAGAAGTCGTGGCCGTCACTAAGAGAAACGCAGACGGGGAACCTCTTCCCAAGCAGCACAAAACGCGGGACGAGGTTTCCATTCCCAGGCTTCTGAACCCGCCTGTACCATTCGAGATGCAAAAGAGGGCTCTGCCACTTCAGGCGGGGCCAAGGAGGTCCCACCAGAGGAAGAAAGCGAAGAAATTGACCAGAAAACATCCCTCCAGGAGTATGTGAGGAAGTATAATGTCGTTTCGGAGCTTGCAAACGCATCTTCCGGACTCACTTTCGGACAGCTTGTTCGCGGCGATGCGTAAGTGGCAAAGAAGGAGATAGGCCGCTTGTTTGCAAAACAAAGAGTCCGTGGTCGTGCTTTCGCAGGTCACGCCGATACGAAGTCTCGAAGGCTGCGGCTGGTAACTGTGAAGGTTTATGGGACGGAAGCTCAAGCCCTGTTAGATTCTGGGGCCGTACCGAACATAATCTCGCCAAAGTTGGCGTCTAAGCTTTGCCTCTCCCCGCAAACGACTGAGAAGCATATCACGGTGGCAGATGGTGCTAATGCGCCCTGCCTGGGATCGCTTCATCAGATACCAACATCGTTCGGTGAACTTATCGTGAAGTTGGACTTCCTAGTCGTGAAAGGATCGCCGTTCGACCTGATCATAGGGCTTCCGACCCTTGAGGGACTACAGGCATGCATCGATCTTGGTAAGCAACATGTGCAGATGGCAGTAGGTGAGAATACCACCAGACTAGGCCTCAACATGGATGTGGAACACGTTTCACGGAGTGCAGCCTCAACTGATAGTGAGGATTTCACCTCCGACTCTGAGGCTGTACCTGGCTCGTCTACGACAAGCGACAATGAATTTGTCTTGGCGACTCTTTACCAGCCACCATTTGAACCTGATTTGGGACTCACCAAGCTACTGGATGGAGTCGAAGATGAATTGGGTGGTCTTCCTGATCTAGTGAAAGAGGGCCTAAAGTCCGACTCGGAAAACGCGAAAGGAGATGGCAGAGTAGACGAAGAAGGCCCGGAACGGCTTCAAGTAGCCCTTCTCCGGGAGAAATTGCGCCACCTGGCTTTCGAGGCCAGGGAGAGCATTGTGAATTCTATCCAGAACTCAGGGATCGTAGCTTGGTCACTCGACGATTTAAGACCGGCAGATGTCCCGGTGTCTCACTCGTTTGAGCTAGAAGATCCAAGCCCCATTACCCACGCTGCACGTAGGCTTCCGCCACGCCACAATGAAGTGGTACGTGAGGAGCTTCGTAAGATGTTGGAGGCGGGAATAATAACCCCCTCCATTTCGGCCTGGTCCTTTCCTATCGTTATCGCATCGAAGAAAGACGGAAACCCCAGGTTCTGTGTAGATTACCGCACCCTCAATCGCAAAATGAAAGCCGATCGTTGGCCCTTGCCAAAGATCGAGGATATCTTCGATGATTTAGAGGGGAGCTCGGTCTTCACAACGCTTGACTTGTTCTCGGGGTATTGGCAAGTCCGGATGGCTGAGAACTGCAAAGAGAAGACGACTTTCGTCTGCCGTTTTGGGACGTTTCAGTTCGAGGTGATGCCGTTCGGGTTAATGAACGCCCCCTCTACGTTCCAAAGAATGATGGACCAGCTTTTCCAAAGACTTAGCTTCGGGAGGGTTTACTTAGACGACGTAGTCGTCTTCTCGAAGTCCGTTGAAGAGCACACTTCACACTTATGTGAAGTCTGCAAGGTGATTGCTACGAGCGGGCTGAAGCTTAAGATCTCAAAATGCAGCTTCGCACAGTCCCAAACGCGACTGCTTGGACACATAGTCACCGGAGATGGCGTCAAAGTGGACCCCGAAAAGGTCAGCGCCATTAAGAGGGAGAAGGAGCCGTCCAATGCGACAGGGCTTCGTAGCTTCCTTGGTCTGGCGGGATACTACTGCCGCTTCATTCCTAAGTTCGCCGAGATCTCTGCTCCGTTACATGAGGCCACGTCTACTAAACGGACTTTTAAGTGGACGGCGGAGATGCAGGAGGCATTCGAGAAGCTTAAGCTCAAGTTAACCTCCCCGCCAGTCTTGGCGTTTCCGGACTTCGAACAACCTTTTGTCGTGGAGACTGATGCATCCTCGGTCGCCGTCGGAGCTGTTATGGCCCAACGAAAAGAGGACAGGAAAGTCCACCCGATCCAGTACGCAAGTCGCACGATGACGTCAGCCGAGAGGAAGTACTGCGCCTGTGAGCGAGAGGCCCTGGCTGTGATCTTCGCTTTGAAGAAGTTCCGAGTTTACCTGCTTTCAACACAAAAGTTCTCGCTAATAACAGACCACCAAGCCCTGCAGTATGCCTTTAAGAAGAAAGACATTCACGGGAGGTTGGCAAGGTGGATGGACTTCCTAGCAGAATACGAATTCGAAATTAAGTACCGCCCGGGAGGAAAGAACGGTGCAGCTGACTTCCTGTCCCCCCTGAAAACCAAGGGCGAGGATGGAGTCGACTCTGACGACGAGGGAGATCTTGTCTGCAGTGTTTCGGATCCTCTAGAGGCGCAAATGGAGTGGGAACCCCATCTTATTGACATTTCAAGGCACCTCGGGGGTATTGATATGAGGGAAGTGGATGTTCGTCGACGTCGGCTCAACCGCCGAAGCGCCAAACGTTTCATGGCTTGTAATGGACAACTGTTCCGTAGGACCAACAATGGATTACGCGCTATCCCGCCTATAGGGGCTCGCAGAAGGATCGTTAGAGCCTTTCACGACGAAATAGGCCATTGGGATCTGCAAACGACGAAGAGATTCGTCTTGGACCGATATTGGTGGCCTGCCGTCCACCGAGACGTGAACGACTACGTTCGGGGTTGTGACGGGTGTCAGAAAGCCACACCAATTCCGAAGTACAAGACCACCCTTCGATTTCCCATGACTTCGTTATTTGATACATACTCTATCGATTTTGCGGGACCATTGCCTCGTACGCCCTCTGGACGGAGGTACATCCTTATTGCCGTGGAGCACCTGACTGGCTGGCCAATTGCCAAGGCCACCGTCACCTCGACGGCAGAGGAGGTGCTGAAGTTCGTGAAAGAAGAGATAATCCACTGTTTTGGGTTACCACGTGTCGTTGTCTCGGACAACGCTACTTGTTTCACAGCGTCGGTCCTGAATGCCTTCATGGCACGAAACGGGATTAAGTGGAAGACAGTGCTCGCCTATGCACCTATGTCAAACGGACGGGCAGAGCGGATGGTCGGCACATTGAAGAGAGCAGTCCGTAAGATGATTCTCGGTGCCTCGCCTGCAATTGTTGAG